GACAGGATCTCAATCAAATTATGTTGAGATATCAAGACCAAATCGAATCAAGCATGATTGGTACAAAAATGGGATAATTTGGCTCAATTTAGAAAGTTTGCATATGGCTAAAGAACCAAATCAAATCTTCTCAAAACTTCAAGATTCAATTTGTTTTGCAACCCTAATTCACTCAAGGGTATATAATGAACAAGAACAAAGCATAAAATAAGGGTTGAAAATCGTGAATGAGCAAGAACAAACTCATAAATATTGACAAAAAGTGTGAATCGGTTTCAGTCATACAGTCCATCCCAAGTCGTCCTAGCATTGCCAATCGATTGTTGGACGTCTCAGGAAGTTATCCCAGTCATTTGCAAGGTTTGAAACACCAAGAAACGCGCGCTACAACTCACCCAGTTTGCCCTGTTTTTTCCAAATTCGTTTACTATGATTCACGCGTCATGAATATGTTTTAATGGAATATATTTGTTTGTTATCATGTTTGCAACGTATTGGTTATGTTTGATTGATGTTTTAACGCATATATTGACAATTGCCATAACTAGGGTTTGAAGTCACGTTTTGGGGGTTCTTGATAAAGGAAAAATTAGGCCACAAATAAGGTACCATGATGCTCGTGAGACCAAGACGAGTTGATTGGTATAGTCACAACTAATTTATCATGCATGTGCTAGATTTTTGAGTTTTGCAGGTTTGTAGCTACATAATTTTGTCTGTAGGTGAAGGTGTAATGGTCTAAGGCGACGGAGGAGGAAGGAGATGGTGGCGTGGCAACCATCTATTTGTCCGTTTAAATCTCGCGCGTTTTATGATCCAATTATCTTGTTTTGTATATTGTATTTTGTTTTCATTATACTAATAACTAATTAATGTAGCACAGTTGGCAAGGGCATTTGTTGGCAAGTGAGAGGACCTGGGTTCGATCCCAGGTCCCAGCAAAACAAATTTTCTCATTTTCTTGCTGTAGATTCTATACGTTGCAATCCCATGCGCCTTCCATAGACCATGATGCACGTCCGAGTCAACATTACACAGGATCCAGCGCTGACTGGGCTTCAGTACTAATGGGCCTGGTGACTTCAGCTTCACACCCCTCCTTTCAATTCAACACAGGCCCAATTTGTTCTCTTTTCTACTTTTTTTAATTTCTTTATTTATTTTCTTTAGTTATTTTCTTTTTTTTCTTAATTAATACAAAAATTATTTTTTTATTAAACTAAAAAATCACAAAACTACAAAAATCTTTTTTTAATAAAAATATTTTTTCTTAATTAACTAGTTTAATTAATTTAGGGAAATTTAATTCTTTTTTTTATAAATTAAAATCAATTAGAAATTAGGGTTTTAATTAATTTGCAATTAAATTCTTTTCTCAAATAAAAAATGTACAAAAATATTTTTCTCTCAATTAGGATTTTAGGTTATTTTTTAAACGACCTCGTACTTAATTCACCGCGCGTTTAATTAATTCTTTTCATATTTTTTGTAACTACCAATGGTTTGTAATTGTTAAACTAGGGTTTTCATTTATCGCTTTTTCCCCGATTTTGGTTATGTAATCAATCCCTATCCTCGAAGCCTTGTAATAGCTAGGTTTATTTTCTCGCACTTTTAATTTCCGCAATCTTTAACTGTTAGATGCATGGTTAATAGGATTGTATGGAAATATGTTTGAAAATTAAAACGGTAGCTCACTTAATGTACAAAGACTAATTAATTGAAAAAATCACGTGCACATATTTCACTCCTAGGGTTTGCCTCACTTCGGTTTCCTTTAGTAAAATAGTCATTTAAGCATAGGAGAATTTAGTGGTTGCCCTCCTGTCTAAAAGATCAAATGTCCCATTCGAATGTTGTCTCGGAAATGTTGCCTCGGAAAGATCTTAAGACTCTAGGGTTACTACTAAGTGTAGCAGTAAAATCAATGAAGTCTCCACCGAGTATTTATTTATCCCATATAAGAGAATGGAAGATCATCGAAGAAAAACCTAAAGGGGAAATCAAGGTCTTGCGACCGAGAGATTGGGTAAGGGAGTCGATTACGCGAGGGGAAGGTATTAGCACTCCACACGTCCATAGTACTCTACGGGATCCACTCTCGTTATTCTAATCAAAGGGTGTGTTCAATCTAATGCTTAAGAGTTATAAACTAAGAGGGAATGCATGCAAAGAAAAGAGAAAGAATGTAGGGAAAATAAAGTTGTACTAGCTTGGGCCCTAACCAATGCCTATGTGTCCTTTTTGAGGAATCATAGCTACCTTAGTTTGGCTCATATATTTTGTTTGTTTGTATTTTTTAAATGAACAATGTTGCATTCAATCATTCCACCGCTGCTTAACCTTTGGAGACTTACGACCTGTAGTGGAAAGGAGCTAACATGCTCTTAGAAGAGAAAAAGTTGAATGGCGAAAAGAAATGGGTTGGTTGGTATTTTTTACCATGAAAGGAATTTTTGTATGATTAGCATTTTTTATACATTTGCCAAGAAAAAAAGAAGTTTTAGTTTTAAGTGTAATTATGCAAAAACGGGAAGAAAACATCTAAGAGAGACTAACCTATCTCTAACCTAATGTTATCGTACAATGAGGGATCCTACCTAAGTTAGCATGCCAAAGAAAGTCGAACAAAATATCCTATAGGGAACATGCATTGAGAGCGAAGTCGTGATCTCAATTTCTAAATTGAGTGACTCATCGATCAACAAGAAATAAAGGAAAGCGATAAAATCCTATAGGGAGCATGCACTGAGAGAGAAGTCGTGATCTCAATTTCTAAATTGAGTGACCCATCGATCAACAAGAAAGAAAACAAACACAAGTACAATATGTATAAGAAATGAAGTGTGGATGCCTCTATAGGTCTTTAAACAGCTAATTCGTGTGCACGCTCTTTATTTCCTACTTCTCATGATATCTAGAAAAGAGATAAATACGGAAATATAACTTGGAAGCAGTGTAATACCAAACGAACAATGACGTCCGCAAAAAGTGCAACCAAAGTAAAGAAATCTGAGATACTTCGCGCGAGCTAACAGAGAAGGTTTGTTGCCTCTTCAAAACCATACAAGCAATAAGAAAAATCTACAGAAGTTGCTTCGCACAAGTGATCAAACAAATTAATCTCCAAGCATTCCATATTGTGAAAGTTGCATCAATATTCTATCACAAAACTAGCAAATCACATGAACATTCAATGAAACATAAAGCTTATTTTTATCAACTTTATGAGACTTTTTATGAACCTAACCAAAAACATATACTCAATCATTTGTTCAAAGATTAAAACCTGCTTATTAATCATTCATCATGCCAAAGAGATTGAATCAAATAGGAATAATCAACAAGAACAAATCAAAATCTTAATTCAATCAAAATCTTAATTCTAATCAATTTTGCACATTTAATCAATTAACTCCTAAACTAATAGAGAAAAAAATAAACAAAAAATATCACTAAGTCAGGGACAAACATATGAACATTTACACAAAATCAGCCAAAAAAATCATGCAAGAAACATTAAAAATTAATTTAAAAAAGTAACAAAACAAGGTGAAAATTAACACTAAGCAAGGGGTTTACTGGACGAAGCAGCAGTGTGTGTATGAGTTTCATTGGGCTCATGTATTCAGAGATCCACACATAATTGCATACATTCAGTTAACAAACAAAAGGAAAATGAGGTAATGATGGCCCAAAGCACCGAACGACGCCGTATTACAGTGGACCTTCAAACCTTTCTCTCGACTCAATCGTTCTTTCTCTCTTTCAATTTCAACTGTACCGACAAAGGCATCCCCCAAATCCTCGCGGAACAAACAACGACTCTTATCTTCTGAACACGATTCCGACCTCAGATTTCCCTAATTCTTCTTCAATCAACAGGATGGAAGAAACCAAACGCTAACCCTAAGCTTGCTGAAAAGTAGCTCAGCAATGAAGGTAATGATGTCGCTTTCTGCTTCTTCTACTTATGGCTTTTTCATGCGCGTGTTTAGTGCGTGTGTTGATCCTGATATTGATGTGGTTACGTTTGTTGAACTCGTTGCAGGTTGGTGATTGATTGAAGTAGAAAATGACGACGATGATGATGATGAAGGTGTTGATTCGGCGATGCCGCTTGAAGACGTGAATATTGGAGGTGATGCGACGATGATGATGGTGGATCTGAGATGCTGGGAATGATGAGTGTTGAAGGCTTGGTGAAGATGATGAAGGATTTGCAGAGTTGATGTGAGTATGGTGAGAAGATGGTGCGGTTTGTTGAAGAAGATGCAGAGCAGAGAAGTGATCCCCTTATGAAGATGGAGGAGTGATGGTGCGGTTATGGATGAAGGAGCGATAATAGAGAGAGCTTTGCGGTTGGTATATGCTTGGGAAGTTAGTTACAGATTGAGAACCCTCAACCCTTGGATTGAAGTTTCTTTTAAAGCAACTAAAGGTGAGGGTCGAATTCTCCGAAAGTTTGTTATTCTGATTTTTAGTTATAAGTTTCTCGTTTAATATTTTCTCCCTCCTTTCTGTTATAGAAGTTTGAGTTAGTTATATGGAGATACGGATTTGCTAGGACAGTTATAAAATGTCAGTAGAAATTTGGGATTTGTAGACATTCTCTTAGGGTAGTTACGGTTAGTCTTGAGGTGGAATTTGGTTGGGAATGAATTTTGTTATGCTCAGTTTGTTTTGAGGGTCAGAAACGGTTAGGTTAGTTAGAGGTGGTTAATGGGAGGTTAGAAAATTCGGTTAAAGTATTCTATTATGGAGGTTATAGGTTGTTAGGAGACGGTTACAGTGCTGTTAGGAGATGGTTACAGGGCTGTTAGGAAACAGTTGCGATTCAGTTAGTTCATTTTTTCCTTTTCTGCTTTCTGACATTTCCTTTTATATCTTCTGATTTTCTAATGCAGGGCTATATCACAGTTTATACGGTATCTGTTGGTTTGGATTCTTTAGCTCATCACCGGCCACCAAAAAGTAAGCAGTGTGCCTGAAGAAGTTCATCATTTTGATCTTTGAGTCATCATCTATATTTGGAGTAGGTTTATTGATGTTATCATGAACTCCTGTATTTCCTGTACCGTTGATTTCACTCTTGACTTGTTTCACCATATTCTGTGATGTGTGATCAACTTTAGCAATAGAAATAGGCACTGTGTTCTTTGGAGGTTGGTGAACAATGTTACTCTTTGTTGGTCCCAAGCCTGCTAAATATTTTATTTGTGGAGTGGCAGAAGCTGCCAGTTGGCCTTCCAAGTTCCTTCTTACAAAAGAATTAGAGATCCCACATAACCTATTGTCTCTCAAGAAACTATCAACCGAGGGAGGCTGCTTGAAGAGCTCTTCTGCTTGAATGAATTCTGCATTCCAAAGCACAGTTGGATCCTTTGGGATGCTAGCTTGCACACTATATACCTGGACCGAACAATGCCCGTCAAACTCTTGTTGTGCTTCTGCAAGTTTTGGTTCAGCAACAAGCCTTATATGGTAGCTAGGATGAGTACTCTTTAACCAGCCAGACAAAGCATAAACCACTTCCAACCCACCCTCGTGTTTTTGAACAAATTCCTGAAGCAACCTCTTTGATTCATCAGAGGATATCAAATAACTGTGACTAAACCACTTGTATGAAACCACTTGGAGTTGATCTGAGAAGAGAGATTCAATCTCGTGAATCAGAGACAGGGTTTCAGTTTGCGACATCGGAAGAGAACGACGGTAAGAGGAGGGTGTAGTGGCTGGTTTTTTGGATGTAATTGTAACTTTCACTTGAAGTTGTAATGGAATTTTGTAATAGCATGTATGAACTTTTATTTTGATGGAATTAATTGAAACATGAATGAACCTGGATGACCTTGAATGGATTTTTGATGAAGCCTTTTGATGAAACATGAATGACATATTTGGACAAAGCCAAATTAGGCTAGAATCATAGCCAACATGGATGGAATTTGAATGAAGTAATTTGATTTTGATGGATGATAATGCTTGGCTTTTGTTTCAACTTGTCTATATTTGAATTATGAACTATATAAGTTTGGGTTAAAATTCAAAGGGAAATTGATCAACATTTGAACTTGAATAATATCCTCATTGATTCCATAAAAATGAATTCACAAGAACCACACCAAATCATTCTCGCCTCCTTTCCAAAATTCCTAAATTCCATCTCAGATCTGCCTTTTGTAATTGAAGCAACAAACAATAACAATGCCTTGATCATATTACACGTCCACAACATCATCTTTATACCATGATTTAAACCTTGTAATTCATTCCGCCAAGGAACCTCGGTAGACAACCAATGACCTTGAAGCAAATGCCATGGAGAAAACCTTATAGATAGGAACAATCAGAAGCGTATGAATGATGATGATCACAAAACCCTGAGATCACTTGAAATGCACTTTGATGGCTTAAAAGCCCATGATGAAGGTGTCCTTGTAGCTTGATAAGAAAGAAGTCCACAATATTCATGAACATACAACCCTAATTCCATAATTTCACTGCCTTGAAGAATAACCAGAAGAATCAAGCTTTGTTGAACATATACATCTCAATCAATTGACAAAACCCTGATCCCGTGCCAAGAAAAATGAGAGCGCCAGTTAAATCAATTTTGAGCAACACGACAACCTCCATTCAGAGAGAGAAACCCTAATGCCAAAGCTCTTCGATCTTATAACCACGAGACCAATGATATGCGCGAAATGTACAAAGTATGATGAGGGATCTTAGGGGAAAAATTGGGGTACAACACTAAGGTTTCCTACCCACTGCTCTGGTGACTGTACTTGTCCCTTTTGAACGTCCCTTACAAACTCCAACGACGGGGCTACCTACTCCACAATAGTAGGATAGCGTTGCCTAAAGGAAATGAGAGAAAACAACCTTGTTTCGAGTAGGTAGAATCTTAAGTACTTGCTCAAAACAAATCTTTTCACACAAACACCTTTCAAAACAAATTTTCAAAGCAACTTTGTCACATCCTTGAGGACTGATACAAGGGTTATCACAAAGTAAAATATTTTCAAAGCAAGCACATACACAAGCAATTTTAAAAAGATGAGCAAGTACCTAAGAGCCCATGGAAAACCATAGATAGAAAGGGTGCTAACACCTTCCCTTTCTATAATCTACCCCTCGTACTCAGAAATATTCTCGAAAAAGGTTTTTTCTGTTCTTTTTCCTTTTCCTGATTGGATGAAATAAAAGTCGGTGGCGACTCTTGCTTACCGCTACATTTTGCAAACAAAAAAACGCAAAATGCAAACCAGTATTAACAGTCGGTTCTGTCACCGTATCATAACTTGCTTTTGTTTGAAAATGTGCTTTGTGTGGTTTTTGAAAGTATTTTGAAAAGGCGCAATCGTTTAGGAAAACTTTGTAATAGTTCTCATTCGTGAGAACGTATACAAAGTGTTGATCTTTTGAAAAATATTTCATGTTTGGAAAATGTTTTGAAAGTGTTTTTGAAAGTGTTGGTGTTTGTTTTGAAAATAAGCAAGAGTATTTATTTTGAAAGTGTTGGTGTTTGTTTTGAAAATAAGCAAGAGTGTTTGATTTGATATTGCTATCTTACCATTGATTGGTAAGAAACCTTATCTTTGGATGTAAAGGGACGGGCATGAGTCATCGTATAGCCATGATAGCGATGTTGTGAGATATCTTAGCATTTTTCTTTGAGGGACTAAGATCATTTTTTGAAAGGCAACATTGATAGCGTCATCGAGGGACTATGATCTTGTATTTTTATTGCTTCTTGTTAAGATATCCCACATGCATAACATGGCCATTTTGGTAAGGAAACAAAGTGGAATTACCCTAAGGGTGTAAGTGTGCAAGTATGTTGATTTACAAGCATTGTTTTGTCTTGAATTAGGGTTTGCTAACTTGGTGATTTTAATCTTTCCATACAAACCCTAATTTACTAGCATTTATATAAAGCGATAAATTGCGGAAAGTACTAAGCTATTACATTATTAGGGGAGGGGGATATACAAATTTACAAATGGGGATTTTGCAAGAAAATTAAATCTAATTAACTATTACAACTATATTGAATAAATGTATAAGAATTGAAAATAAAAATGCAAAAATGCAAATGGATAAAGAAATGATTTTTGTTTGATTTTATGAAAGGGTTTTAACCTAAACCTAAATTAAGAAAATAATTAATGAAAAATAAACAAAATTTAAACCTAAATTAATTAAGGAAATTAAGTTAAAAAATGTTTTTTAGGGGTTTTTTATGAAAAAGTTTCAAAATAAAAATAAAATGAAGATTAATCAATTAAAATAAACCTAAGTTCTAAATTAATTAATTTACAAGAGAATAAAATAATAATTAAACCTAATTATCTAAATATTAATTATGAAAAGAAATTAAATTTATTAAGAAAATTGTTTTTTTAGTTTTTTGTATTATGAAGAAAATAAAATATATAAGTGTAAATAAATAAAAAATTTATATTTTTTTTATATTTTTTAATAATAAAAATAATAATAGTAATAATAAAAAAAATAATGTAAAATGAAAATAAAATAAGGAAAACGAAAATAAAATAATAAAATAAAGGGCCAGGGGTGTGAAAGTAAACAAGGGTTAGAGGTCAGCAGAAATAAAAAGCCCAAAGGGGGGGGGGGGGGGGGGGGGGGGGGGAGCCTAGGTGCCTACTTTCAAACAAAAAAAAGGAAAAAATATGAAAAAGAATCAAAAGGGTACCATTGGGGCTCGAACCCAGGTCCCAAAGGTGACAGGCACGTGCTTTAACCACTAGGGTGGTGATACATCCGTTAACTTAAACAAAACAATAAATATGTAACATAAGTTTTGCCCTTAATGAACTTCATCTTCAACCTCCAACCAAAGGACCTATAACTTATTCATTTCTTATCCATTCACAAAACTTCCAACATCAAACTTATTAGAAATTTCCTCCCGATTCTGAATATGTAAATAACTTAAGCTAATTCTCAAAGATGAGCATGAATTTCTAACAGTACCAAATTCGGACCTAAATATTTTCAGAGGTTCAAACTAGAAATTCTCCCTACTCAAGCAACAAAAATGAAATCTATGGACATGTATAGTTTTAGGGCAATGATGTCTACATTTTATCTTCACAAATGCAAGTCTAACAACGCCTAAATATGACGATAGAAGTTCAAGAAAAATATCGCAAAAGTGGAAATCGTTAAATGAGTTTGAGCTTGATTCAAGGTGCTGTAATGATCAGGTTAGCTACCTTGAGTCTCTAGGAAGCTAATGCAATGCTTAGCTTGAGTTGAGAGTAGCTGAAATGGCCTGGAGAAGTCAATGTGTAATGCTCTGTTTTTGGTTATGGAGGGTGGTATAAATGGTATTACAGTTTGCAAACATGTATTGGTATGGTTCGTGTATGATGCTAAGAAGCTTTTGGAAGTATTAAGCCAATAAACGCACGAGTGGTTTTGAAGATTGAAGTTCAAAGTCAGAAATGATACAAAAATGGAGGTTTTGTGAAATTTCTGGATTGAGGGAATTTGGGAGTGCTTAAGGGCTTCTAATCTCTTGTCCTAGGTTTCATAATAGTGTTTTGATATATAAGAAAAGGTTTTGAGACTTGAGATGGTCAAAGGTACAAGATCACATGTTTTGGCTTCTTGGCTTATTTTTGAAGTAAGGTTGACAAACATGGTTTCAATGCATAGTACAAGCATGTTCTGAGTAGTTAGAGGCTCTAGACAAGTTTCTTATGGATTTTAGATTGTGTGTGATCAGAAGGAACAAGTGAAAAGCTCAAGACAAGTTGACTTTGTGATTAAAGCTTCTTTACTAGAATGGCAATGTTACTTTGTGCCATTAATGGAAATGCAACTTGGATAGTTGCTCAAATACTTGGATCAAGGCTCTAACAGCTGTGTAAACATTTAATTATGGAGTGAAAAACAAGTTTGAGGCCTGCAAATCAAAGATTATGCAGCCTAGCATGGATTTGTTTCATGTGTTCTTCACAAAATGACTTGTAATTAAAGTTTGAAAACCCTAACTTCTTGCCTTCGATTCTCCTTGCTTAAGTATGATCTCAATGAGTTCTTGGACATTTTGGAAAGCTTGTAAAATCCTATACAACCTATATGTTGGACATTTTTTAAAATTCATCTTGGAACTATATGAAAAATTTCCATGAAGTTAGGTCAAAATCCTACCTAAACTAGGGCAAAATTTCACTAAGTTTCCAAGTTTCATGAACATGTATTCTCAAAATAATAACTTGAAATACATGAATTTCTAGAAGAAGTTACACTCTATAATGTTTTAGATCTCATTGATATCTACAACTTTCATGTTGGAAGTTTCCTTTGAATCATCTTGCATCATGGTGAAATTTTGTTCAAAGTCATGAAAAAATATGAAAATTTCAACACTTAGAAAAATTTCTAACTTTAGAAATTTTGACATTCCAAAATGAAATCTTGACTTTTTTGATTTCTTGATGAACAAGTTTCATATTTTTACATGTTTTGATGAATTATTATCTTTGACACTTGATTTTGACCAAAAAGTCAAAGTTTGACTTTTCAGTGTACAGTTGACTTTTGATCAGTTGACTGAAAATCAACTATCAATCAATTGATTTTGAGGAATTCTTTGAGCCATTCCATTAGGTAAAAATTATGCAATTGAATCCTTGAGATCATAACTTAAATCAATCAAACAT